TGACATGGCATTCTGCTGCCTCTGACACAATGATTGATGAAAGAACACACTTTTGCACAATAGACAAAGCATTTCGAGCAGGTGACGCGCTTTTTCCGGTTATCCACTATGTTGTGCAGTTTGTACGTGTTGTTTTGAGAAATGCACTTGGAGATCTGCAAACTTCAATTCTGTTGTGAGAAATGAACGAAAGCGATAGAGAAAAACTGTAATTTTACAAAAAGGTACAAAGTTACTTAAAAATCTTAGTGCAAATTTGAGATGTTTGTCTTCCTGTATTGTGTTTCCTTTTCTGGTATGTTCAGTTTTTTTTTTTTTTTTTCCAGAAGAAAAATAATTTGCTTCAAGTACATGAACAAATCTGACCCTGACAAGCTGAATTCCTCCCAGTGTAAGGGGAAGATGTTGAGGTAAGTCCTTTTTTTAACCATATTTTAAATCACAGACTGAAAAAAATCTGATATCTGCATCTCTTCATGCAGTTTTCAGTTTGAGCTACTGGTATGCTTAAGCCACTATTAATCTAAACTTTCATTTTAATTATAGAGAAAGTAGTCAACATATTGAATGTTTTAGGATTTCAATGCAATGATCTGGAATTGGCAAAGGTTACCTAATTGCATATGCTCTGTAAAGATCATTCAGATTTTTAACCAGCGCTCGTGATATTCCTGATTATTTCACTGTAGCTATTGCAAGAAACTTTCAGATTGCCAGTGTTTAAATGATGTAATGTAAACAAAAATGGTTTACATTGAGGTATTTTTGCTCTGTCAGGTGGGGACTAGGCTATATAACAGTGGGCCAACCAATTTATACGTCAAAATTAAAAGTAAAGATCACTAAGGTTTCATATGATCTAGCCATGTCTTAACTGCTATTGTTTATCTGGACTGGGAAGCAGGTTTCTGGAGAGAGATTGCCTTGTCTAAATCTAGCACCCAGTGCTGTCACGAACATAGGTCGAGTTGGCCAATAAAAGAAGAGTTACAACTTCCGGTTTCAGCTTAAAATTAAAACTCGGAAAGCATGAGTATACCAAAGCTACACCAGAGAGGACTATAACTACCACTGAGACAAGGTCCTCATCACTGTTTATTCGCATCTAGATCGCCAGTTAGGTAGACTAATGGTCAACGTTAAATGAATGAACATAATGTGAAAAAGTTCAAAAACTTCAAATGAGCCCACAAAGAATGGACTAGTTTTTAAAGCTAGAGAGCATCCCAACTAAATTACTATTTAAGCATTCAAATTATCCGTTAATATTTATGGGGTAGGTAGCTTATTCACCGGGCTTCAATTAGACTAAAAAAAATTTATATTAAAGCAGCAGAGGCTGAGATATCTTGTTCAATTTTAATAGCTATAAATGTGTAAAATTGGCGGAGTGAACCTTTAAGCTGTCATTTTTGGCACCACTGAAAGCGCCGACAGTTTATCGTTATTTATGACCCATATAACGTAAATCATTTGGTTGTGAAGCAGTATTTTGAAATCATAAAGTAAACTTCCAGCGTCGCGCGCGCTGGTCTGACTTGATGAATGCAGACGATGTGACGTCACCCAGAGTCGGTCAGCTGGCTCCTCCATCTGAAAAGCAGCGAGAGCCTCTCCCATAGGGCGACATCACCATCAACGCCCGATCCCAACCGGCACCGTCGGCAGCCCGCTGCGAGGGCCCAACATATGGAAATAAACTAAGTCATAGGGGTCGTTTGGTGAACAGAGAGCGTTACATTATTTATTTACCTATTTATTTATTAATTTATTTATTTCCCCGGCCAGAAATGGCTGGGGTCCATGGCTGCGGCTGCTGAGAGGCAGGTGCAATATCGTCGTC